ATTTCGGAGTTTGATTGTCGTAGTGACAAAACCGCTAATCCTGTCTTGAAAAGATACTACTGCGAGATACTATTCATTCCGTTGAGATATTGATTAATAATTACTGGACTAAAGCTACCAAGCAAAAAGTGAAGGGAAACAAACAAGCAGCTCACTAACCTTGCTAGCTTGACTGGAAGTAATGAAACGTGGAATCATTTGACGTCTAAGACTGTACTTCTCATGCCACAGACGCTCCTTTTTTATCCCGGGATTGCAAGCAACAAAGAATTCCTGACATGGGTCATCCAATTGACCATCGTATATCCACATACTGATCAAATGCAAAATAGTCTCGGATACATTTTTCAGTAAATAACGCATCATAGACACCACCTCTGGATCCCCGTGCAGTGTATAGGCGTAGAGTTCTGAGGCCAATGCACCACCACGCTTGTCGCTGCATGCCTCGCACAAACTGGCCAAGAAGCGTAAACGGAACCGCGGTTCTTGGGTCCATAAGGCAAGGCGGGTTAGAGTAAGTTCCTGATTTGTCGGCGCTAGTTTGCCAGTCTCGTCCAGATTGAGACCAAGTCGACCCATAGACATTTCTAGCGTCGAGTCGGACGAAGGTGGTGGTGGTGGAACCGGCACTGAGAGATCTGTACGACTGGTTGAATCGCCTGAACCATCCGCACCACGTTGACTCTATGCGATAAAAAAATGTGTAAACTTCGTCAACACTAACGCAGATTATGACCAATCAGAAATGTTACACAAGAAGCGAGAATATTCAAAAAACCATAATTATCCAGATAAATACGCACGTATTGTCAAGAATGTCAGTTGAGATTACCATAATCACAGGTTTTTATTAGCGGGTGTACCAAACAGAATCAAATCGCACGAATCAGCAACCTCAAAAGGACCGAGATATGTGGGCTCATCCCCAGCTTGTCGAATTGCATAATCACCAAGACGCATGGATGATAACTTCGCCTAAAGTTTTAAGACGATCTTTTGTTATAAGATGAGTCAACATGCAGGATATCTCCACTGATCATTTTCCAAAAGAAAATGTTTGATATATTTTACACCAGATTGTAAACAAGCATGATGCCAACGCAACAACATGGGACAGGTGGGTTGAAAGACAGAGCAAAGTGGGAAGAGGGTGGAACAGTTAAAATAGAAAAAAGCAGATAACAAGACTTTTTTGTTTTTAAGGGGCACAGGATTTCAACAGACAGACAGACTGTACAGCATTCGCGCCACTGACTTCTATTCTGGGCCATATCTCTCAGCGTCTCTAACCAACGACAGTCCTCATCCCTTGGGCCCCAACCTGGAAGGTGGGCTGCACGAACCGAAGCCAAAGTTGAAGTCAGCTTCTTCATGCCCCTACGCCACGTCATGATCTGACCGCCACGTCGCTTC